TCCAGGGTCTACAGCCCAGGGTGCGTCATAGTCTGCAGCCAAGGGTGTGCCAGGGTCTACACCCCAGGGTCTATGATCAAGGGTTTACACCTAAGGGGTTTCCATCAAGGGTCCATGGCCTAGAATCCATCAAAACCAGCCAAGCAAATGTTGGATTCAGGAGGATTTTGAAATAGCTTTATTGATGATTATTTTTCCCTCTGGCTGACTGGAGCAGAGTCTACCCAAGACATTTGTATCACACGAGGCACACTGACTTGAACATCTCAGATCTTATGGTTGAGACAATCATTTGCATGGATTGAAATTTGGGATGGGAATCATTAAATTTGAAAAAACTTGAGTGCCTGAACAGAAGGTAATCTGAGCAAAGCGGACGGTACCTCACCCTTCCCTTGATGTGTCCACTAATCCCTACTGCAAAGGCTTCTACAAAATACAAATATTCCATTAGCTCAGCCCTCAATCAAGATCAAGTACTGGACTGGCAAGAAAAGGCAAGGACTTCCAAATTTCCAAGTGAGGTCAGACGTTGGATTTTGTTCAAGGGGTTCTAATTCCCTTCCAAAGATGCTACCCCAGGCCCCCCCCAAAAAATATTAACCTGCAATACTAAAAACACAGTAACAGAGTTACAGGGCTAGTCAGTTTCTCTCTTGTAACCAACATGTCCACAACAGTTAAAACTTTCTAGCTTTAATTAGGTTCCAAAACAAGTTCCACATCCGTGTATGAGCCAGAATGAAGATTATACTGGGAATGAAACCAACAGGATGTTGAATCCTACACGAATAAGTTTTTAATACATAATCCCCTTTCTGCCCATGCCCAGTTTATAGATACAATGCTCTACATAGATTGGCCACAAGAACCTTTTGCTTTGTTTGTGCTTTGTTTCCTTGTTTTCGGTGGTTTTGTTTTATTTTTGTAACTGCATTTGAATTTCTTTATTCAATAAGAAAAAATTCATATTTTTCTGTTGAAATGGGGAGTTTAAAATTGATGATCTGCACGTGGAACAGGTTTGAGTGGAATTCAGTAACTATTAGGGACATGCTGGTGACCTTTTACCACAATTTGTGTCAGTCAAAAGCTTAGTTTAAAATGGCTCAATATTGCATCTGGAAGTGTAGTGGTTATTCCACATCATTCTCTGAATGCACCATTAAGCCTTGATAATCTGGAGAAATGTGCCTCTCGTAGAACCCTGTTAATGTCCCTATAGATGGAATTTTCCAAAGCTAGTGTTTCATGACTACATGATGGCACCTCAGTATGGTCCCCGGGTATAAGGTGGAGATTGCTGAGCGCTGTACAGGTGGAGGAGTCTAGGTAGGTTTCATTCTTGGAATTTGGGGGATGGTTCAAGGGTAGGCTATGGTTGTTTGTGTGTTGTAGTAACATGGAAGGTGTTGCTTGCTGTACAGGACAATGTCTTGAATGTGTCGGGGTAGGCTGGCCGTTGAAACAAGCATCAGTCTAGATCAGGAATCACAAACATTTAAAAGATGTTGACAAGTGTCAACAGAAACCCTCATGAAAATTTACCCAAAATACATACTATTGAAAAAAACAATAACTAATTTGTTCATCCAAAAAAGTCTTTCAAATTTCTAACATACTTTTTCCCCTTTTTAACAAGGGAGAGGAACAGACAGTGTTTCATGAAAATGAAGGGCAAGATCACAAATGTCAAGTTACACAATGACCAAAAAAAAATAAAATAACAGCGCGATGTCTTTGTATCCATCCACTCACCTCAGAATATCTACTCGAGCCAACAGGCTCTTCATTCCCATCTGAATGACCATTCAGCAAAGGGGAACTGACACAAACACGAAAAACAGAAGCAATGAGTATGAGTTAAATTAAATGTTGTCCAGTGGTGTGGCCTCTTGGCAACTGTCAACTAGGACAAATGTCTCAATGCCAAAGCATGAACACATACCTGAACAATGATAAAAATACTACAACGGCAGATAAGGTTTTACATGTGAAGGCCAAAATGCTTTAAGGATTTGCCCTTTACATAACACATTCTTCTGCTTAGATTAGTTCTTTTAAAAGGTACTGTTGATTTGAAATGTTCACCAAAAGTGGCCACCAAACATCCCCTATCATCAAAGTCACTGGCCTCAATCTCCATTATCTTCATCAAATCTTGAAATGTAGCATAAACGTTTGCAAACCTGTTGAAGTTGAAGTCAGTTCTCTTCGGAGATGGTAACAGCTCCGAATCCTCCAAGTCTCGATTTCTCTTCCTACTACAGATTTCAAAAAAATCAAATCAATTTTCTCAAATTTTGATTTTGGCTCATTTTCTTTAATAAACAAATGTTACAAGTGTCAAAATGACAGGAAAAACCCAAGTAACATGGAACAGGTGGTACCCTAAACTTATAAGGCTCCTCGTTCCTCATCTCTGAGAAGCAGAACGAGGCTTCCCTCATTTCTACGGGCAGGATGGGTGTGGGTCAAACCCACAACATCCCTGCTAAAATACACATATCTGCCTCATCAAGCACCAATCTTGCAAGTATATCCTGGCTGCGTCAAAGTAGCAGTTTTGCTACAATTCAATGTGCATCTGGATCTGCCAAAAAAACATTGCTAAAGCATATAGTACACAGTGGCTACAGTTTCCGCAGCCGTAATGGAACTTCCAAATTCTGTTTAGTTTTTTTTTGACATGTTATTTTGGGGGGGGGGTTTATTAAAGGTGAACGAAGTACGAGATCAAATTGTTACGGACCAGTTTGATTCAAGTCTAATGCTCCAGACTGGTCCAGTAGTAACCAGTACAAGTGTGTCTCTAGATTTCTGGAGTTCATTGTCCACTGTGGGCACAGAAGGCAACAAACCCAAGAATTCTAGCGGTAGTAAAATTGCTGTAACTGAAGTCACTTTGTATTAGGCCTACTAGACAAAACCTGTGATTCTTTACATTACTATACTGGACAAAACCTGATGCCGCATCAAATTTACCATCATCTCTACAAAAAAAATTGCTGCAGACACTCAACAATGTACAATGTCACAGAATCTACAAGATTATAACAATATCTTTCTAATTAACTTTTCAATTCATTTATACTTCTCCCCTTTTTCTCATTTTCCCCACCCCCTGCCCTCCCTTGTGAAACACCATCATGATCATGCATGACCAGATGACGAGTCCATCAATCCGTAAAGCTGGATGGGTCCCCGAACAACTAACTTGACTTGGGTCGACAGTGTGTTCACCCCGGCATGAATGGGTGTAAATTAAATCATGGAAATACAACTTCTATGCAAAGTTTGCATTTGTTCTAATGAAACAAAATATGGAAGATAAGAAGACATTTTGAGACACTTGCCTGGACAGTGTTTGTGTCATTTTTGCTCGTTCATCAGCTGCAGCTATAGCGCCCTCAACGGTATATTCATGCAGGTTAATTATTTAGGCATTTTTGAGTTTTCGACTTAATTCAATTGTGGATCTTCTCTATTTAAAAAAACACTTGAGAGCTCAGTGGGGAGAGAAAATGGAAACAAATACCTTCTTATATTGATTACATTATCAGGTCTTATCTTTGTATAATTTGTTTAAAGAGTACTTGAAATGAAAACGGGGGAGTCAGAATCTCCTTGCAACAAAACCGAAACTTGTAGAACAACTACAGTAAGTCGTGGGAGTACGTTGACCTTTAGCACGTGAAAGCGTGAAAGAGTGGTGTCCGCTTAATGTGTAGAATCCCAGACGTGTCTCTTGTAGTATTCAACAATAAGACACAATCATCTTCTTGGGCATCCGACTACTCAAATATTTTGCAATGCTCGACGAACAACATGGCATCAAACTCCGGCGGTATGAACCCTGAACATGCTGAAGCTGAAAGTGAAAACACTTCGCATTCCACCAGTGAGGTGGAAGAAGAAATGGAGGTGGTCGACCCTGAGAACAGTGACATGGAAGAATCAGATGGTGAGGGCGGGGAGCGGAGGGTGTATCTCCCGGGGGATCCGCTTGATGAAGGAGAGATGCTCGTCCGTGACGACTCCGCCTATCATATGTATCATCAAGCACAGACTGGTAATTTTGCCTACTTCCCGGACACTTGATCAAAGTTTCATTTTAAAAAGTTCTTTGTACTCAGGGTAAGAGTTCCATATACGGGACGCCAGTAATTTCCCTACAGTGACCTATAACTTAGTCATCAGAAAGCAAAAACATGTCTAGATAAGTTCAATTTAGGAAGGAAAAAACCAAGTCGTTTACTTACTAGGCCTACTTAGACCTACATCATACATGACTTATTAAAAGTAAAAAAAGACACAATGACAGAAATTTTCAGACCAGTCTCATAGGGTTTGTGCACAGGAAGTCACGCGGCATCCATATATGGAGCTCTTTCCGAACTGAATTCCGAAAAAGTTTGGTTTTTTTTATTTCGTGTCATAGGCCTATTTCCAATAATCATGGTTTGTTCCTGGCTGTTTTGTACAGGTGCTCCTTGTCTTAGTTTTGATGTTTTGAGAGACAGTCTTGGAGAGAACCGCACCTCCTACCCCCACACAGTCTTTGCTGTTGCTGGTAACCTTTTTATAAAATTTCAGCTCAAGAGTCTTTTTTTTTTCATTATAATCATTCAGTGGATATGAGTAGTTTCTTACAGTACTTTGATTTTGAGTATTTTTTTGTAAAATATGAATATTCTCTACATTTTGTTCTCTGTCATGTCTATTGTAAGAATGAGCAAAATATGAAACAGTCATTTTTTAATAAAGCCCTTGAAAAGTTAACCTTTTTCCTTGCAAATGAATATTGTCCCTTTGCTTTGTCAAAGTCACTTTTTAAGTTCCAACATTCCTGGTATAGTGTAAGTGAACAAAATTGGCAATGGTAATTCAGAGTTAGGATTAAAATCAAATAGGACACTTTCTCATTTGTAACTAAAGTACATTTTCCATGGATCTTTAACTTTTGAAGGTCCTTCAGCCAACCGTATTTTGAGGCCTCGTTTATAACCAAATTATTTGAGCCCCCTCCAAAAACAGCTTCAAATTTTACTTGTGTTTCCACTGATTTCCAGGCACCCAGGCAGAGAAGGCACATCTCAACAACGTCATCATCATGAAGATGACAAATCTGCATCGTACTAGCCAAAAGGACGACGATGATGACAGTGACGAGGACAGTGACAGCGACGATGAGGACAGTAAGCCAGAGCTAGAGACGGCAATGCTGAAACATCTAGGCTCTGTCAACAGAATTCGAGTGAGTCCTTCAGGCCAAGTTAGCCCTTTTAAAGCTAGAAGTGGAAACGTTAACCATTAACCTTCCAGATCCCTAAAATCAACCAGGTTTAGGACGATTTTGTAGGATTGAGAAAAGTTCAGCCCATCTGGCCTTGTAAATACCCCTTGATGACAGGGTTCAATTCTGGACTGTGTCCATTGAATTCAATGCCGGTCTATGGAAAGCCTCATGACCGCATAAGTCCTGTGCATGATCCAGTTTTTTGTCCAGTGTTATTCTGCTAAATAGCACTGGTGGACCTCCCAAAACATCAATTGTTCAAAAGCAACCTTACTAGCAACTCCCATACATGTCCATAAATTGGTGTTATTGTTTATCTTTCGAAAGATTGCGCTACAATAAATTTGGGAGTTAGTATAACTCATGCTAGTGGTCAAGCAGAATCATGTTTTCCAAGTTATGCATCAGGCATGAAATGTAAACAGATCGTAGATACATAGACCAGCAATAGGTGCCCATCAATTACTAATTGCTCAAATAAACAGCACCCTCTTCTGTGCAAAGCCCACTAACGACACAAACCCTGACAATGTGGTTAACCAACCACATTCATTTTTCATTTCATTGTCATTGAACTAAGCCAGGTTGACACTTTGTTATTTGTACTAAAGCTAACCACTCTCTCACTCTTAGTTGCTTTACCTCTTCTCAGTCAGTCTGGTCTCTATTATTTATTTTTTTCTTTCAGAGCACTGACATTGGTCAGAAACAGGTAGCAGCGACTTGGGCCGACACCGGCACAGTCCACCTGTGGGATTTGACCTCTGCCCTCCAGGCTGTCAATAATGCCCACCTCATGGGGCGCTTTATGAGGCAGGAATCCCACAAGCCTTTGTTCTCATTCACCGGTCATCAGATTGAAGGGTATGCCATAGACTGGTGTCCAACCGCATCAGGTATGCTGTTATTTATGTACTTCTACTGATAGACCCTAAATGAATTCTGTTTCAAAAGTTTTGAAATGATTTGTCCATGTGGGTCATTCCATGAGGTTGGGGCACATTTTGTGAAGGTGTCAAATGTTGCATTGGTTCTGTAAAAATGAACAGCTATTTCCCTGCTTGTGGATTCCAAATTGACATCGTTATACATCTTGCAAGGCTGGATACAAAGGTGTGTGTTATACTTACAGAGTAAATGACCTACTCTACACGTCATGACAGGTGGTAAAAGTTGCAGGTGTAACAAGCGACACCACCCCAACCTCATGGAATGACCCATATATAAAATGTCAAATTTTGAAGCACAGCACCTTAACAATAATATCCTGAATAAACATGTCCAAACTGATTTCATTTTGGGTATGAGAATTCATTACCCAGGCAACAAGATATAAAATTGGGAAGATTATTGTAGAAAAAGACCCAAACAGCAGTTCAAAACTAAATTCCTGAAATTTGTCGGCAGGAAATTTGATTACTGGTGATTGTCGGAGAAACATCCACCTTTGGAAGTTACAGGAAGGAGGGGAATGGTCCGTAGACCAGCGACCATATGCCGCTCACGCAGAGTCAGTGGAAGATTTACAGTGGTCACCTAATGAGAAAAATGTAGGTAGAAATTTAATTCACCTCCAAAGAAGGTTAATTCACTGAGGAACATCCTGTGTGGATTCTATTCTAAACATGTGTATGTCTGCTATCATTATACATGTATTGAAACTTCAGAAATGTTTACTGCTTACAACAAGCTTATAGTGTTATGATATCATTCAAGCTAAGCATGCTTAATATAGTGTCCTCCCCAGCTAAGAGGGATAACTCAAAGAACCAGTTTTCTCTGTCTCCATTTTTGGTCAAGGATTTTGTCTTTAACTTGAGATAGTAATATCTTGATGAAATTTATTAGCAAACTTAAAACCAACCTTTATACATTCATGAACAGCTCAGTGGAATTTCTAATTAACTTTTTTTTTCATCTCCTCTGTAAAGGTTTTCGCCTCATGTTCAGTTGATAAGAGTATCCGGATCTGGGATGTACGGGCAACACCTAGCAAGGCGTGCATGATAACCATGAAAGAAGCCCACAGCAGTGACGTCAATGTCATCCACTGGAACAGGAAAGATCCGTTCATCCTGTCTGGAGGTGACGATGGTGTACTGAATGTCTGGGACTTAAGACAGTTCCAGGTAGAAGCCCTATTAGCTTTTGTACATGACCAGATGGTGGCGCTGTGAATTTAACATTCAACTAGGACCTGCATTCAAATGTTATAGTTGCTTGAAATAACACACATCCCTGTGAAAGCCATGCAATGGCTACCGGCTACAGCGACTTCCCATAGATACATGCTTTACTTCCTGCCAAAGCCAGTCAGTATGGACGCAGCCTAAGAAAGCTTTGTCAGTACACTTACCAACGTTTTACTAAATTCAGCCTGATGAAGTAGAAATGTAACCTGAGTTTTCTGACTTGTTTTCTGTACATTATGATAGTAGTTTGTGATTGTACTCGTTATAACAATTGTATAGGCTTTTTGAAGAAAACTCTTGCTAGTTCTAGGCTTGAAAAGTAGTGCCTCTGTTCTTTTCTACCGCCTGTAGAAAAAAGCTCCACCAGTTGCCAAGTTCAAGCATCACACCGGGCCAATTACTTCCGTGGAATGGAACCCTCAGGACAGTACTGTGTTTGCAGCAGCAGGGTCTGATGACCAGCTCACCCTCTGGGATCTGTCATTAGAACGTGAACGGGAAACGGCACCAGAAGGCGAGAGTGGACAATCTCGACTGGACGGTATCCCCCCTCAGCTGCTGTTTGTCCACCAGGGGCAGAGCGACATTAAAGAACTTCACTGGCACCCTCAGATCCCTGGTGTCCTTATCAGCACGGCTCATAGTGGTTTCAATATATTCAAAACCATCAGCGTTTAGCACTGATCGCTGATCCTCAAGAAACATTGTTTGTATATTTTCTGCAGTAATGAGTCAACATTGGAACTCTTTAGCACTGAAAAGACTTCTGGATTTTCAGAGCCTTTCGGCAATACCTTTAACCTGAGGAAAGTAGATAATTTTAACCAGCATAGCAACCATTACATAGTTATTGCTATTATTGTGTTCACCATGCCTTTCATAACAGGTGGCCTTATCATGTCCTGATGAACATGCCCATTTTCCCTTCAGTTATCAATTCAGAGGAGTAAGTGAAAAGTACTCCAGTAGTATTTTTAAACCTTTACATAATAAACAACAGAAACTGTTGGCTTCATGTAAAAAATGATTAATTTATTTCACAAAAACATTTCTGTGATAGCCAATTCCATCAGACCGGAATATTACACAATAAATACTTGCAAAATTATACATTGAAAAATATTACCATGGCAACTTACACCATTAAAATAAACCTTGGAATGAGCAGAGTCATTTCCTGCCACCATTGTAATAAGATCAGTCTCATGGTCTTTATAGATGAAAGAACCACCTTCACCCATAAAATAAAAAAATGATCATTGTTAAGTAAGAACTTCAGTAAGTGTACTTAAGCAAGGCTAACTCTAATAAACTAGGGAGATCCAAGTCGAGCGTGTTCAAAAGGAGTTGGAGAAGTAACTCCTTGTCTGGAAAGCCCGGTGTGCAAGCTTATATCTGATAAACACTAAAATTTCTGCAGCACCACCATATGGGATACGAACCAAATGTGCGTATTCAAAATTTGAAAAGAGTTGAAAGGCAATACTGAAAAATACTTAGATCAACAAAGTCGTCTTAATATTGGTTGAATTCCTGTTCACTTATCACAGTCATCATAACATAACAATGGATGAAAAAAAACCATATTTTTATGTCTCTCAGCCTCTGTACACAAACAAAATGGGCCATAAAATGTACATATATGGAAAGCGTAAATTATGTCACTTTTACATGATTAGATTTCTATGAGGAGACACCGTTACTGCAATGGTATGAGAGTCCTACGCACGTTCGTTGACCACTTCACACTGGAGAGTAAGGATGTAAATATAATCTGGTGATCGGTAGACCTGTACACAGGCCTGGCAGATGGGTCAAAGCATCAAGCTAGTGTTTACATGTGCTCATCTGCGTTTTGTTTTTGTTCAGACACATAAAGTCAGAGAGGTCTGTGGAGGCAGACTGTGTAGAGCTTCAACTTGGCCGCTGTGTTAGGCTTTTTGTGGTAGCAAATATCACTCTGTAAGCTCACCTCAGAGTGCTGACAACAATAATGATCCACGAAGAGATCTTGTACAAATACTGTTCAAAAGAATCTTGCATATCGGTATTTTCGGTGTCGAGCAGTACATCAATAGTTGGTACATCTTGCCCTTGTTCCAAAGTTGAAATTTTTAGCCAAAAATTAAACCATTAATTTGCAAGTGGAAAACTTGAGGCACCTGTGTATTTTGGTAACAGGTCAAAAGAGGTATTTAACTTCCATGTGACTTGCGCATGCAGATTGATACCACTGCAGAAATGGCTTCAAATTCTGGCCATCTGATTGGGCTATAAAGTCCAGGTAGTTTATGTAGAGCCAAACAATGGTGGCAAAGTACTTTGAGGATGCTTAGCTACAGTAGTCTTCTCTGCAAGTCGATTTTAGTCCATGGATGGATCACTACCATTTAATAGTCAGCGCATTATTCATCTTCTCTACAGCATGGTACTGTGTCTTCAGCATAGCTATGGCTTTCTCACTCTCTGGTCCTCCAAGCCAATCAGAGACCAGCTCGTCACTCAATGGGTTCTCCTCTGGTTTCCTAGTGTTGAGGGAGTTGTAGAGAGCCTCCACTCGGATTAATAATTCCTTGGCTTGTTCTCCATCCTGAGGTCTGATTTGTCCACCTCCATTCAAGCAGCCTGGACACAGAACAAACAAGAAACAACATGTTACTATGTACTGATCAGAAGTACAGTCAACTCTCATTGTAACAAAGTTTTAGGGACCAGACATTTTATGTAAGGAGTGGACAAACAAAGAAAACACAAAAATTCAACAATCTAGGAATCTCAGAATTTGCTCTTTACAACAGTACATGTATTTTGTTGTAAGTGTTCTTTATATTGAGAGTTGACTATATCTGCCAATCAGCCTGGGGCAGAAGCATCCCCCTCATCAAAGGGCCATGTTGGTAAGGAGTGTTCGTCATACATTCAGTATCATTCGTGAACCAGTTAAGTGCAGTTCCCAGCAAAAGAACCTGCACTGCTGGCAAAACTTCACCCTCTCTTCGTCCCAATCTGGGCAGAAAGTGGCACTCTTAAATCCTACACTGTTACCCCTGCTCATCAGGCCTACAGATCCAATGCATGTACAAGAAATAGCATTTTAAAAGACCAACAACATCAACACAGAACGGTGACACACCACGTTTGTGTACATGTACATGGTCACGCTCCTATAGGCCAGTTAAAGCACAATTCATAATCCACTGGTTAATTTTGCCCGGTACCCAGGATATATTTTGTGCACAGATTACCAGGGACAGATACAAAACACTCCATAGACCCTGTCCTATGGCATCTGCATTAGAAAGCATGGGGCTGGAGGTTCGATTCCCCACAAGCTAAATTCCTCATTTTTATCTATGATCATTCAAGTTTGATATGTAAGTCAAAAGCACATTATTTTTTACCAGCTGGGCAAGCCATGACCTCCACAAAGTGATATGGAGAGCGCCCTCGCTTGACCTTCTGCACCAGGTTCTGGATGTTCCGAAAGCCATATGCCAAAGCAAACTTGAGCTTCACCTCACCATCAACTTCCAAGATGGCCTCCTTGAAGTCTTTGTTCCTTTATGGAAGGAAATTATGGCAAACAAAAACTCCATTCACCCTTTTTCACGGCAATTTGTAACCCAGCCTAACGAAATGAGCTAAAAGTTGCCAGAGCCACTTTTGAGTTGAAGACATTGTCAATAAGCTTGCATATTATATCAATAGAAACCCTCAACATTTTTCAGCCACATTGTATCCATTTTGATATACATCAAAACGGAGCTCTGTTTGCTCTTTCCAATCCACACTAGAACAAAATTACTGGAACAACAGCCTTAGAACTCATTTTGCATGACAGTGTTTAGTGTCACAAAAAGAACGTATAGGAGAGAGGGATATTGCCTGCATGTTTGATGATACAAAGCACGGAAAAGGGGGCCAGTAAGTTACCATCTCGTCAGCAGTGTTTGCCTCATGATTTTACATTCTGCCGTGCCTTGAGCAATCCATTTGTTCACGAGCATCAGTGCGGAGAATGTAAATGTTTTGAAATGTCAAAACTGACAGGTGAATTTTGTTCCATCCATTTTTCACTGCAAACAGGAATAACAACTTTGTAAGAACACCAAGTGCTCTACTGTTTCATTCAAACTGCAGCCTGCGTGCCTGGTTATGTGTGTAAAATGTATTTTGGGCGTAGGAACACTTGCAGAAGTTTCTAACCATAGGAGAAGCACTGCTTACGTGACAGGCCCCCTTTACCGTGTTTGTGTCTGATGGAATTCTTTGCTGTGAAATTGTGAACTTGGATGTTCAGTTTACATGGCCATGTGCACTATTAAGCAGCAAATCATAGATTTCAGTCCTAACCAAGCAAACTTGTGAATTCTTCCCACAAGCTATATTGCAAAACACCAAGTCCACAATGCTTAAATCACACCAGCAAACTAAACATTCAAAAAGGTGCTATCTAGAAGGCACAGGGTTCACAACCACTCACTTGAGAGTCTTGTACTCGATGTGTTCTATGTTAATTCCAAACAACTCCTGAGCTGCATATCGGAAAATGTGTTCCAAGTAACCCCCAGAACCACCTCCTACATGATTCACCAGCTGTCCGTCCCTTGACACTGGGAACATTGGATCAATGTCCTGGGGTTGTATGTCAGCTAGGGATAGGTCTTCCTTATCTAGCATTGCCTCAACCTCTCCTAAAACAACAACAATTACAAATTTATTTATGAATGTATTCAAATGAAGCACATTTCACAATTTTTCCAAATGAAGCACATTTCACAATTGATAAACTTTTGCATGAGCACAATCTTTTGCTGCTTCACTTTTAAGCTGCAAATGGTTCTCTTCACAATTCGGTATTTTTATAAAATCAAAATTTTCTTAAAGCAAGGATGGTACAATTTTTGTTGCATAGCCTACTCTTAAGAGCCAAGGAATGAGGCATCATACGTCACATGAAGTTGTCGGTGCAAACGGTACGGGCAGCATGGCTTTAAATTTCAACCTTATGTGCACAAATTTAACAATCGCGTGAGAACAACACACCTGAGCGAGGCTATACAGTGAAAACAACAGTAGAGTATTCAATAGTAACAGTTATTTTTGCTTCTTCGGTGCTGAAGACACACTGTTATTCCCTCAGTCCAATGACCACAAAGAAGTTAGTAAATGCTTTGAACCCACCTGATGTTATAACACAATCAACATCTCGAGTCCTGTAGATGTCGTTGTAGAAGTCTTCCCGCGATGCCTCAAGTTTCTTATCAAAACAAGGCATGACAGTGGCATGGTAGATCTGATCTGGCCTGCAACCGCCCTGCTTGGAGTAGTAATCTTTGACCAGGGATCCCATCACTTGTTGAGGGGATTTTGTAGTGCTGATGTAAGGTAGGATGTAAGAGCCGTGGGTCTTCTCAGCGTAGCAAACCCAACCTGGGCAGGCAGAGGCAAGCATTGGTAGACTTCCTTTCTCTTCTCGTCTTCTAAATCTGTCGACAAATTCCTTCTGGCTTTGAAGAAGACTGAAGTCCCTGGCAAACGTCTCATCAAATACATGGTGCACACCTGTAGACATGCAAGGTTTGAAAAGTTAATTCACCACTGTGAGTAATAAACCACTATTCTCAGTAACATCTCATTACCAACTTTAATGTAGCAGCAAGCTAAGAACTGCAGAAATATAATGCTAATCCTAGATCTTTAACGGCACACATTTATTAAGACCTGCAAGTGCACAGAAATTAGTATTGATCATCATTTTGGGAAGATTTCTTTGTCTAGAAGAAAGATTGACAGTTAAATCTTAAAGTTTTAAAATTCACAGATGGTATTATGAGCTGGCAATAATGACACCCAACACTTAACACTAACTCCGATATTTTGTATTTCATGATCAGAAATAACTATTGGATACTATTTGTACTTTTTCTTGATAATGCGGCTAGTAAACTCCCACCTCCTAAAACTCTACTCCCTAGCCACACCCCTCACCTAACTCTTTCAGGAATCCAGTCAGTCTACATGCAGTCTCCTGTACTGATAGATGATACCTTGCAGCCAACGAGGCTCTCGACTGGGGTGACACAGATACCACCACCAGTTTTTTCTGATCATGGCCCTGCCAAAAAAGATTGCAGATGGATTGGGTTTGATAACTTCGCTGCCACGGAATAACCGTAAAATTCTGTAGAGCTGGTCAAACATTTGTATATGAAATTTCAAGTAGCACAGAATAATTACAGTGATTAAAGGGCTGTCGTAGCCTTAGACATTCAAATAGTGAATCGTGCTTATGCACTGATAATTCAAACATTGCCCTGATTCTGAGGAAGTGGGTCATATGTATTCTCTGCAAAAATGAGTCTCGAGTCACCAGAGCCACTTTTGAGTGTTACTTTGTATTAGCTTGAGGAATTTGAGCTCTTTGTGTTGATTTGTCACTCAGTTTGGTATGGTGAAAATGGGCATTATGTAAATGTTAAAATGTTAAGGATTCCTATTGCTTAAACACTCTGCAAGATTCTTTCAAGTCTTTAACTCAATAGTGGCTCGGGCAACATGAGACTCATTTTTGCAAAGCCAATCATATGCGCTATCAGACATGGCAGTAACTAGCACCACTATTACAATTTGAGCCTCAAGAGGGCTTACTTGTGAATCAAACCCATTAACCTCCTTGATTCTTTACCTCAGGAAGTTTGTTGTTGGCTTCTAAGACCCTCAGTAATTCTTCCTGGCTCTGTTGGGTTATAAGAACACTCTCTGCTGACGTAATGCAGCCACTGCATGCAAGGCAATCATTCAGAGTGATCTGAGCTTTCTTCAGCTGTGTGGCTTCACCATCCTTTGATAATATTGGACCAAAAAATAACTGGGTCAACACCAAGTTTTATTGGAGCAAACATGATTATAAACATGACTTATGGCCTCTGACTAGATCCATCTCAAAACAGACAATGACAATTTGTAATATGTTTAGAGTTAGTGTACGACTGAATAGCTCACTTGGTATGGCACCTTTACAATGATTCAAAGGTCACAGGTTCAAATCTGTGGCTGGTGATTATATTGACCAAATACAGATTAAACATCAGTTAGATCAGCATTCTTTCCATGCTTTTTACACCACTTGTATTTGGCCTAGTGTAAATCTGTGTTTATGTTGACGGTCCGAAAAAAATATTAAGGTATGATGGTTGGAAACAAAAGATTTTGTAACTGTTTTTACATGAATATATTTGGGTCTTTCATACTGAACTCTGTTGGTGGTGATCTTGTCATTAATTTGGTGTTATGAGTGAAAAGGTCAGAAATTTCTACAAACTTGATACTGTGTACCATTTCATCTGTCACACTTCTCTTGTGCACTACTCTAGATGTTTTGGACTGATTGTAAAATGTGCCTGTCTGTCACTTGTACACGTTTCAACTCATGAGCATTTGAACTCAAGTTTTCCACAAAGCTGCTTATTCTAGAGTGAAGACTTCTCCCCACAAACTATGTCTGAATGATTCTACAAAGACGATAACTTCTTACTACGCCTATTTGGACATNGACCAGATTGGCCAGGAAGACGCTCCACTTGGACAGGTTTGATGCATTCCTACAAGCAAATTAAAGATGGAAACAATGAATGGAAACCAGATAGTCTCTGATTCATAACCAGCAGAACTTGTCATGAATTCTGTGTATATTACAATAAATCACTTGGTCGGGAGACCGAGCAGAGAAGATGACATGATAACTATAAAGGCATCCTACCCCCAGAACTGTGGGGTTCTTCCAACAGTTCTGGGGGTAAGTGCTACCCCATACACACTGGTCGCCTTTTAAGGCTGATGCATACTCGGTATGAAAGCAAAGATTTTAAGCATCAGATCAAATGTTCATCATGTTCGTGTAGAACGTGGCTGGTCAATCAGCACGATCATTTTGATTGTTAAACCCCACTTATGGACTACACTTGGGCTGCTGGTCCCAACTATTATTGGGCCACTCCCAACGATAGTTGCGACCAGCCCAACAAAAGTTGGGACCGAGGCCATAGGCCTAGTTGGGGCATAACAATTGCAATTGCAAAATTATGAAATAGACAGACTGAGCAGTAACGTCGACCTGCAGCATGGCAGGGACCATGCAGATCGACCGATAGGCCTACGGTAACACTGCAAACAAATTTCAAACGTTTGGTGATGTAAACTTGCTTCGATTTTGTATATTTGATTTGCTTGACATGCCCGAAGCATGCACTGGTTTTTCTTTTGAGGCATGTTAAACGTTAGTACAGCCTACATTATATAACGTTAAATCAAAATCAAACTGCTCATAGGAAAACACGCAAAAAAATTACGGCCCAAATTACACGCAGGGCCTGGGTCTGAAATCAAAACTATCCGATGCCGTCTGTGGTCGCTAGGCTTCCAGCGATTTCCGTGTATTTTCAAAGCAAAGCCGATATCATACTTTATATAGCTAAGGCCTACATGTCGGCCTAGGCGTCTTTTTTCTCAAAGCTCCACAGCAATATCAGATTATGATGAATGCGTCATACACATCAGGACAGCAGGTAGGCCTCAGATTGTTGTGAAATAAAGTCTAACCTGAGATGGGGTAATAAAATCGTCCAGATCAGTGAGACGAAGGGCTCCACTAAAATTTGACGCCATCGCACTTCAAGTGAAGTTTGTGAGGTTTCGCCAAGTAAATTAACGCACTTTCTTTTCTGCGGGCCTTCCTCAATGGATAGGCTATCCGCGTGACTTCGCACTTCATGCACATGACACTTCACCATGCATCGACATAATGCATGCATAGCTCGACCGTAAATATTTAACAGCGCCATCTATAGGTATGATCGCCGATCGGGGAATTTGGCATCTCACCACTCTGTATGTTTAGATATTTTTTTAGGATGGGGTTCGGTAATCAGTCTATAATTATAATGTATTTTCTTTCACTGCTTTGTATTTCATTCTCTCTCTTTTCTGGCTTTGAAAGGTTTACGATTGAAAGAACCTTGCATTATGTTAGTGTGTTTGTATGGTATTTTGGACAACTGAATGAGAAAGCATTGTCTAATCACAGAGCCAGGACACTTGCTCTGTGGTCTGATATTTCTTTTTTCCCGTATTAGTTTGAAACGACCGTTATTTTTATGTTTGTTAATCTCGTTATGTAATTACTACAAAGCCGCAGGTAAACACTGGCACAAGTTTTGTGGGCCGAGTACGAAATCTGCAAAGCTTCTGTTTGGAGGTGGTTTGATTCACTCTAAACTTGAGGGGTCTACAAAATGTTTTGTTTCTAACTATTTTTAACACCTGACATTCAAACGACCGACTTTCTGATATGTGCACTGATTTCCATCGTTCAATATATTCTTTTTGTATGCAAAAAATCATAAATTCGTCACGACAAACGAAAACTGTAGAATAATTCATTTTCAAAGCTTAGAGATTTTCCACCCCTCTGAGAGAATGGTTTCGTCAAAATTGATTGACGCTGTTTGCCTCGTGTGTTCGTGTTGCGTTGTGCTTATAAATGCTAATAACGCTAACATCGCTAGGTACGATTGTTGTGTGAGATATGAGCGACGAAGCCGGAGCCAATGAGATAGTATCTGCTGGCATTCCTGATGAGAGCATCACAGTCGTCACACAACGACACTTCACATCAAGTTTAAGAGATCAGAATCTACCGAATCTTGTAGATAATTTCTGCCACCGTGTTATTGCAGTCTGGTGAGGCCTGGTGAAACCACGGAGCCATAGATGTTCCTACCGCACAGCACCGGCGTCGCATGTTGTAGGCACGGGGGCAGACGCCCACTCGTCCCCACTACAGTTCAATGCTGTCGAGATCGTTGAGCACGGTAAAGTCGGGTGTTTCGCGTAGCGAATTATACCCACGGCTCAAAAGATCAACGGATTTTCCAATTGTTCCGGGGTATTATAGGCGAAGGGCTTCAGAGCAGTCACGATCAGGTGATTCGTAGACGGACCCAACCATTTTGGGTATCCACATAATGCATTTATCGTTTGGGTCTTGAAAAACCACATTCAGTGGTTGTGCAGACATCAGCTTTACATTTGCAAGGTCCTGGTTGCGAACACCCGTTGTAGTATTTACAGGAAAATGTTGAGAAACTGACTGTGCTTACATAGCCTGAGGTATTGTGCTACCATGGGAACCGGGTCCTCTCAGTCCAACAGAGCCTATCTACCCTTTCTGGATTCCCTCCATGTGGTTCTACTTGGGCTTGATTTCTCGGGGAAAACAACTATCCTCTACAGGTTGAAGTTAGACGAATTCATCAATGCAGTCCCAACTATTGGCTTCAATACAGAAAAATTGAAGGCAAGGACAGGACAGTCCAAGGGGGTGCGATTCAAATTTTGGGATGCAGGAGGAAGTGAGAAGCTCCGCCCACTTTGGAAGTCCTACACCCGGGGCACGGATGCTATCATCTACGTTGTTGACAGCTCTGACTTTGAACGCTTTGAGGAGGCAAAGAGCGAATTAATGAAACTCTGGCGATCGCCAAAAAACAGTGGGGTACCAATCCTCGTGATTGCAAACAAGCAAGATTTGCGCGAGGCTGTTAACTTGGAGGAAATCCAACGGCACCTGGGACTGAGTGAGCTACGACAGCATAATCCCTATCAGCTCATACCTGCTTGTGGCATCACCGGAGAAGGATTGGACAACATCTTTGATATACTCTGTGAGATGATCAATAAACGGAGAAGTCTTGCAAAACACCAGAAGAAACGAGGAAGGTAACACCGGCTTCAGGAGTAATTAGTGACGTGTTTGCTTCAGAAGTTAAGCAGCTGGTAGCCAAAAATACCTGTAATCCATGATTACAATTGTGTGTGTGATTCAGTGACTCCTTAAAGATGCAGATTTTTAACAGGGCACCCCTCACATAGCATGAAACCTTTTGCGTCATAAGGAATTTAAATTGATTAGCCATTCACCATTGCATTTCTAGTAGCTGCACCTGGTCCTTGACATGACAAACCAAGAATTTCTAAAACTTGAGTACGTGGGTGAGTGCAAGGTATATTCCTGTTTAGCAGTGTTTCAAGTCACCGTTACTACCCCCCCCCACACACACACCTTTGTTCTTCATAAATAGAACAGATGACAAGCCAAAATCAGCAAATATCTCTGTTGTGGATGGTTCACCATAATGGCACTTTCCTGTCAAATTAGGCTCTGTCAAACTGCAGTTTTAGTCACAAATCGCACCACTCTTTATATAGCCCTAGTATTCCTTGAAATATTTATAAATGGCAATATTTACATCTCGTTGCTGGTAGCTTTTTTGACCTTCGTTCTTTAATGTTGGCAGAACATCAGTAAGTACTGATAGAAGTCGGTGGTTCTATCAGATCCTTATCACAGACATCTATTATAATATTCTTCACACCATTGGGGCTGTCACACAAGGCCTACATGTACCTTGACTGAGTTCTTTGAGTACATGTACTTTACTGGTTTTATAGTCTGTCTTTTGCAGCAGTATACAAGAAAAATGAAACATTTTTGAACGTTTCTAAAATGCCATTTTTAATTGTACGTTCAGTTTCAAGCTGAATCTGTCAATATAACTTGCACCACGGAAGGTTTTATTTATTTTTTTTAGTTCCCCAATTTCCACAAAGCAATTACATGCTTTCTTAAGAATTAAAGTACAGTATTTGAAAGATGTTCGTCACAAATTGGAAATACGCATAAGTTCGTCTAGCTTAGAAAATGTGAGCAATGTTGCTTTCTTACTAGACTCTCATTAACTCTAACTGTTGACATTTTGCTACTTTAACTTCCTGAATCATCAAAAATACACCACAAGTGCAGGAAACCAGCGGTTAAGTAGTGAAAAGGTATCAAGATAAGTTATACCTTAAAATCTTCCAAAATCCTCCTAGTGGCTTTTGAAGGATCTTGGAGGATTAGTGAAAGCTAGATTTGATCATGCCCGACTATTTGTAAAAGTTCAGCAATGAAAAAAAGTGCCTTGTAACAGAAGTATCTGTGTTGCCCTCGGACGATTCGCACAAAAGCACTCACTTTTTTGGTTTTCTTGTCAAACTATAGCTTGTTTTCTCCATTTCCGGGTAACCGAACTTGGGGGGGTATTGTCACTGATATTTTGAAGTGTGCAGTACCCTGGCACCTTTTTTGTGTAAGCATTGTAAGTTTTGTTATCCCTCTGAACTGCTCAACAAGGCCCAGCCAGGCCGATTATGTTCTTTGTAAGTGCCTTTTTTGAGATGATTTGTATATGAATGCAAGCAGGCCAGATGGGTAATTGTAGGCCCATGAAGCTGCCGTACAAATACCTTCTGGACCCATTCTCAGCTTAATGTATCTTCCAAGGGTTTCAAAACATAAAAGAGGGGAGTTTAAAGCTCATAAATAGTCTGGTTTTTTAGCTGGTTGGAAAACTGCGTGTACTGATATTGTGCGTGCTATGTAGTGCATATGTACTCAAAACCTTTTTAAAAACTGCTCAGAACCCAGCTGAAGTACATTTCTGTGTTCTTCAGATTTTGCAGAGTGAGTGAATAAATACTTATCACAACAGTCCGATCATCTTTTTTCAACCTGAGATTTTTAAATCTGTAATTTTTTATGTCAGTAAATGTAAAAGGATCTAATATTGAGATGTGAATCGGGATGTGTTCTTATTCCTTCCTGTTGTACCACAGTTTATAATCATGAAGGCTTACCTTAATTCTGTCAGATGCTAGGTATGTTTTTATCATCATTATTTGCCAATTTGATTGATTTGGTAATAGACATATTTTGTAGTCGCCATGAACGCTTGGGAAGCATAATGGTAGCAAATTCTAACTCAATATAAAACACAATTGGCATTGTTTATTTATCGTCAGTGTCACGTACCCGTTGAGTGTTATGAAAACAGACTACATAAAGCATGTCCTATAAAAAATTCCCGTGACATTTTCCTGAAATGTTAAAACTATCACAGGCGCATGCTAATTTTCTTTTCCTGGTTATTTATGCCGACTTGAGGTCTGTTTGTCTAGCCGGATACCATCGGCCACTGCTACCTTAAACCTTACTATTGCCTCGGGCGAAAACGCAGCTGTCAAACTACATGATGCCTGCCATATTTGGTCAAACAAGAAAACCGCATCTTTGTTTAGCTTGGTTTGCGAGGGTAAGAACTGTGAATGTGAAATGCCAGAATTGTGTTTACTACCTAAGAAAATAAGCTGTGTGGTTTAGTGCACACAGTTTGTGGTTTGCAAAACCGCATGCAGCACTTGTCACGATCTACAAGGTATAAATTATTATGTGTGATTGGTGACCACGGGTAGATCTTGTTTTCCTCCTATAGGTTTGACGAGACAGTGCATTGTCTACTTGGAACAGCAATTGTTAGACCATCAATTTTATTTGGGATATTTAAAAATTAAATACCACAACAGCATATATCGCTTGGATAAGAAGTGTACATATAAGTTTTTCTTTATGTTTAATTCAGATTCATTTTGACTAGTTCAATTATTTTATATATACACATGTACCAGTTGCCTAGTTTCACTGGCCGAAGTGTCTTGCTTTGTCCAATGCTAGGATAACTTTTGTCCAACTTCAGAGCTGCGTGAATTTTGTGCACCGTTCAGAGTCTCTCGAAATTTAATTTTTTCAAGCTTTGGGTGAGAACCAAGCGAAGCATTCACTGTTGACGAAAAGTTGCATACCACTTTCTACATGTAGAAACTGTGGAATCATTGTCAGACCACACATAGTGTGTGATACTTAATTTTTACGTTTCATGAGGACATGTGTACTGATATGACGTACATGTATATCTGACTTGTAGAAATTGTGTGAGTGTTCATCGTTTGCTGATTTTGAGTATAAATTTGGTACAAAAAAACCCTATGAATTTGACATTGTTTAAACTGGTGCTGATTTTGAAGTGTACAATTGTGTCTTTTTCCTTAAAATTTTGCTGTTGTTACGCAGAGAAATTAATTCAAGTTGATGTAAAATGCCATGTGAATGTACGGAGTTCTAATCGGCAATAAAATTCTTACCGCAGGACTGATACAGAATATTTGTGTATTTTATGGATCGTTTAATATTCTGTGAAATGAAGGTCTCTGCTGGACTTTCTTCCCAGGCTACCGCTCTCCATGAGTGACCGTGTTCCAAGGTTAAAACTTCAACCCTTTGTTGAGATCACAATGCGATTGCCAAGGTGACAGCCAGCCATTGTTCCATGAAGGATTAAAATGGAAAGTGTTCATTGCCGCGTGGAGCCATGAAAAGATGAATGAGTAAAGTAAGCTCGTTGTGCAGGGTACTTCACGATAACGGTGAGAGGCGTTTCTTCATGGATGGATAGAATCCCACCCATGTGAACCACCTGTAAAAATCTAGCCGATTTAACTGACCTCGATGTGTATGAGGCAACTGATAAATTTCAGCATGAAGTTGGATTGCAGTTTGGTTAAACTACCCACACGAGCTACCATAGGTACACGTACCCATTGCTTTTAGCGATGACAGAGTAAAGAATTCCCTCAAGGACACAAGCTCGTAAGCCGTTGAGGGCATTCTATTTCCACGGTTCATCAAGGACATAATGTAAAATTCAAATGCTAAAGAAGAGGAGTTGCTAAGCAGCAGTCAATATCTACGTGTACACGTGTTACAGTTATTTGACTGAACAAAAGCCAAAACGCCGTGAGGCAAAATTTTCCTTGTGACTTATATTTTTCACGCAATTGAAGATGATTTCTACACATATTCGCCTTAAGACAGCAATTTTTTTGCCTTGCATGTCTGCGAAGTTGACACTTGGGGTTCCGTTAAAAGGCCCTCTTACTTTGGCGTCGTTCATCTTGTCGACCTCGTTCCCTGCAGCGTCATATTGTCCTCGGCCCATCATTAACAGCTTGAACCTTGGGTTTCGGTCCGATCCGTCCGCGGTCGATGGCATTGGATTTGAGTGGCATTTTGCCCCAGGGGCAGGACCAGAAGAGATCGCTTGGTCACGATGGGGGAGGGTAAAATGCACCGTGTGGGCTCACGGTCGTATCGTCAAACTCCTGGACAATTTTTGTCTTTTTTCCCTTTTGTCGGAGTTGCCATACCTGCTAACTCAAAAACATGCACTTGTATTTTTGAAGACTCCGCCTTTAATTTGCTCCCCGTGCAGTTGCGAGTACTCACATGCAAAGTTGCTTTCAAATTTGATAAAAGCTTTCTCTGCGGGTAAACAATAAATGTCTCCTCGGCTGCCTGAATTTTTCTGATTTACTCGACCTCACTCAGTTATGAGCAATTATCGTTTATTTCAGAAGTCACTGGAATCTGAAAATGGCAAATGCAAACGCAATTAAGTAGAGTACGCTTTCTGGCATCAACTTACGGAGAATTGTGCCTTGTGTTTGAGATCTGTTGTGTTGTGTAGTTGAAGAAGTGCTGTTCTAAATGCATTGAGACACTTGAAATGTGCCAGCTTTTAAAGTCTGATTGCAGATAGTCACAGGATGAAAAATTGTGTAATGTCCCCTCCTCCTAATAAAGGTTACCTGAGAGCTCTTCGGTAAGTAGTGCAACTCCTCGTGAGAGTATTTGATGTGTGATTACACTGTCGAAAGATCTAGTCGTTTGCGAGCGAAGTCGGTGATGTATTTCCCGGCAAATATGCTTATGTGCTTAAGAGTTGCTAGGTTACTGTGGAGTTGCAGGAAACATCAAGAGGAGCAACATGTACCAGGATCCATGTCGTGACTGGTAGGCCTTATTTCGATACTGAGCTGTCAGCAAAAACAAATCGTGGTTTCTTTTTCCATTTTCACTTTTGCAGAAAGTCTTACTCGAAATTAAAACTGATTAAAATAATACTGAGGGGTCTAATAGTAATAGTCCGTACATCACCAGTATAAGCTTACACTGGAAAGGATTGGGCTTAATTTCATTGAGCCGTTAGCAGGAGATATTGGTTAGCAAATTTATATGCTAAGCAAAACTCAGCAGGGAATCAGTAACAGTGTGTGGCATTTTGGCTGCTAGCCTGTGTTACTAATCAAATAATTTTCTGCGCTTAGTGCGTTTCTGTTGTGACTCTGCGAACATACCGTAGGTAACATGAAGACCGTCTGCGTACCCCCACTGCTCTAAAAACGTAACCGATATCGAATTGAGGCCGGACTCTTCTGCAGGAAGTCTTCGGTCTGCCAATGAAGCTCCACGGTCAATTTAAATCTTGTCCAGTGTATTATCATACTTCTCCGGGAGATAATTTGTATGTGGTTTATTACGGAGGGTACATTTTCATAAATTGGTAATGATTTTGTGTATCTGGTGACAAAACAAAGTGCAGTGCCGCGAGTATTTGGTGTCGCCCTTGAGAGACATTCAATAGTTTGCGTTGATTATTCGGCATGAACTGACGGGAAAAGTAGGCTTACTAGCCTCGTGTACATGTAACTAGTTTTCACCATTGACGTTCTGCATATCGTTTCTTGAAACTTGGGAAATTTCATAGGTTGTCGATGTCAAAAACATCACTCGAAACCGCCTTTAGACAACTAAGGATTCTGAGGGCTTAAATTGTCTTCAAAGAAGAGACACAGAAATGCTATTTTTACGAACTTTTCATCGACAACAAAATTCTTCGGTCGACTGGATAACTGCCGGGAACTGCATGTATCCACTCGACCGCTCATGGGAAAATCAGTGATGCGACGGCAGGCTTTGACAGAACTCGCATCAGGCAGGTAGTTGAATTAAACTCCTGCCGTGCTCGACGGGCTCTTCAAAAATGCTGGATAAATACGTCATTGTGACGTCACTGATTTCCTTGGCAGGCTGAGGATTGATCATCAGATAGCAGTCAGTCCACGTAACCGCAGTGAGGAATGCAGTACCGTGGATGGAGTGTACATGTACAGTATACTCGCCACAGGGAATGGTGCAAACACGGAGTTAATGCATACGTACGCAGCTCTAAATGCGATTTCGGGGCTGGATAAAAATATCCTAGAATTAGTGGAGTCAAGAGGCCGCCACAACATCCACATAACCAGGACTCTGAAATGGCCTTCTCAGGCAGCAAATACATCTCCTTTACCTACATCTGAATTAAAGGAACGATTTCAAGGTAACAGTAATACTAAGTATTAATAATAATACTGAATATTTTAAGGGACAAAAAGAAAGAGACTGAGCGAAGATCTTTTTTTTTCTAGCCTGTGAGGGCGATTTCTTTGATGTGTTTGCGCATTTCAAGGGAGAAAAGCAAGCATTAATTTAGGGTGAGAAGAACTGATTTTCAAAAAGTTTTTAAATTAAGGGAATTTCTGTGGGGAATGAGGATTATATTTTGCGAAAGTATGAAATAAAGTTGAGGTAAATGCTGTTAGGAATGTCTTGTACTGCGAAAACTAAATACTTGGTTCATCAAAACACAGCTTTAGAACCAAAACTAAATCAACACAGATACAAAAACACACCGACACCTCATGCTAAAAACAGCAAACAAGAACAATGCACTTAAGTTAGGGTATATAACTTAAGATCTCTAAACTAAGTATCTTGGTTCATTTCCTTGAGGAAGAAAAATAGCGAGGGTAGGACATCTGCAGGTCATTAGGCGCCAACCGCAGTTAATGAAATCTCCGTTTTAGCGCAGTCGGTTCTGCCTGTTGCTGACGTACTTTCGACTATGACTAATCTCAGTTTTGAAAGATGGAGAGTGGATAACCAACGAAGACTGGTGAATGGAAAGTCAAGCACAGCGCATCCAACTACGGAAGAGGAAGGTTCCTCTATGCAGACCTTTTTATGGATTGAATGCGCCGATGCTTAAAGAACGGTATACTACTACCAAATATACGCTTCCACCTTTCTTCTGGGGAGTTTAGCATTTTTGAAGGATGAAAAATGTGGGCATTCGTTTTTAGAACAAAAAGTTACCATTCCTGGATTCAAAACTCGAGTGTGCCACAGTTAAGGGTCCCAGCGAAGTCAAATGTTAATCTTATGGTTGAATGCATGAAGACGCAATTTCTTCCAAATTCTTGGCCTCGGTACGGCTGTTAGGCCGGTGCATCTTTTGTGTACATTTATAGGCATTTTTCTTAAATGCCTAATAATTAGTCTTGTGATGATCCAGAACCATTTGAAGGGGGGATTTCTGGAGGCAGAAAATCTGAAAATGTTTTCATGTACTTTTTTACAGCCTTCTGAGGGTGAGAACACATTTAGGAGTTTTTTACACGCTTTTGAAAGAAGTGACAATAAATTGACCAAAATTGGCCTCTCTCGCATGATTTTTTGTTTCAAAGAAGGGGCTCTTTAGGGGCATCCTTGCGCCCAAACAGTCTCGAGGCCACTGTAGTGCAATCCTTATTATTATTGTCACTTTCTTCCAGATTTACGACAAGATGAAAACGTTGTTTGCTTTTTTTTTCAAACTATACCCAATACTTTTCACTGCTATTACCTCTCCCCCCGAAACCAAGACCCAGACGCCCCCTTAACAAATACTAGACCAGGCTTGTTGCGCTGTTACTCACGTGGAAGTTGCAATCCCTATTTTGATGATCTTGGGGTAGGAAAGGGGGATCATCTACGCAGGTCCAATACGATAACTACAGTTTGGCCTCGTGTGGTGCAGTTTGTGGATTAAATGGTGTTAACATGTGTTCTTAGGCTGGATTCTGTACTTGAACTCATTGCTACCCTGACTAAGCTAAGGGATCCATCACGCTGAACCACTGAATTGCTGTACCTCACTGATTTCAAGTCTGGTGAATACTTCACTGATTTCAAGTCTGGTGAATAGGGTATTACAAGTACAAAGCACTTTAAGAATTCCCATCAGGCTCTTTTGACTCATTAAGGAATCTAGTAAGAACATATGCCAATATAACACACCAATACCCTTTGTCAATTGGCACAGCAGGTTTCCTGTTGCTGTTTTTGTGTTTCAGCAGTTTTATCATAATCAGAATTTACAATTCCTCCAACCCCAGAACAGCTGAGAACAGGTCGATTAATGGCAATCACTAATTTTCAGAGGTAACATATTGTGCCCCAAATCTTGTGTAGATACAGAAGAGGCGTTGGGTGTTTTGTTCTGTATGCCATTTTGGAATCACACAATTCCAAATATACATCTTTCTCCTATTTTTCTTCAATGGATGATTGAACCGTACTTATCACATTGTAAGGATTTTTAAAAGAAATGTCACCGTCCGTCATTCACACAACCAGTGCTCTCCCAGAGTTCCAGACATATTTTCAAGTACTGGGTGGAAATTCATAATTTTTATCTTATGATAGAGCACTCAAAAATAATGGGCGAATAAATTCACTCACGGCAAATATTTCCTGTCTTTAAAAAAGGTCATAAGCACTTTACTTTCCTTCTCCTTTCAAGAGAAAAATACGAAGATGTCCATTCTCTAAAATCCCGCGCGGGTGTCTCGTTTGGTGGGAAAAGAGAGAAACGCATAATTAGGAAGCAAAAAAAAAAGTATCGCCCACTTAGCCCCGTCAAAGCGCCGAGTTTTTCTCGTCATGATCCTTGTCAGACGATTTTGTTTGCTTTTTTCCCAAAAATACATCACAATTTCAAACAATTGACGGCTTCGCCATCACATTGGTTTTCGTTCACAGCTGGTGCATTACTTGCGTCTTTTCCAGAAGACACATAAAAATGGTCCTAAACTGATGAAAATAACAGGAGTTGTTTACATGTAGTTAAACGTTTGAATGTAGAATAATGCACATTGGTATTTTGTTCTTGCCTGCACATGCTCTAGTGAGAATTTACCATCATTCTGCAGACTGGCTCCAGATGGACTGCTTCTGCTTGATTTCCATACTAACGAGTTTAGTTGTCAGATGTTTGGACAATAATCCCCTCGGGCTTTAGTTTGTAATCGATGATTCAACCTTACCAGCTGCTGCGCCCTCCCTATGTGTCTTATTAAATCTGCTCATTAATAATTTAGATAATCACAGGCCGACAGCAGCTGCACTTTTGTTGAAAATACCACACAAAACTATAAGGTTTGTTCCCCGTGGAATGGGAATTAAAGTTAAATCCAAAATACAGCAGAAATTTGAATTATAAATTCATTTTAGATTGAGGCATGGCAATCCTTGCGACGACAACCAGGAATTGCATAACTAACTTGTACAAAATAACCCTACTTATGTTGGCTTCAAAATCCCACTTGAAAGCAGAGGTTGACTTATAAATCGCCAGCGATTCTGTTTGTACATTAAAATTAAGATTAATTACTTGAATTTTATTACAGCATCAAAATGCAGGAAGTGTTTTGGCTGATCACTTTTACCAAACAGTAATAAGAAAAAAGTACTGAAATTTCTGCTGCTGGCAGAATGACCTCCATATAAGGTTCTGAATTTTGCTGGGACGTTTCATCGGAGGGAAACAATAAATACCCTAGCTAACTGGATGCTTGCAACATTTACAAGGAAGTGTCACTTACGTATTTAATACGAACATTCATCACTAACGCCAGGCTATCAAATGATGCTTTCAACATATCCTGTCACAGTGTGTATATTTTGAGAACTGGTTCCATATCCAATAAATCTCTCTCGCATTTTGTCTTGTATACATCCCAAATATTTTATTGGTGCCGTCATCTTACCAGCTTTTATAAATTATTAACCCAGTCACTTTTTAGCTCATGGTATTATAAGCATACGTCACTCATTATAGCTGATTTTATGAAAAAAAGAGTCAGGTGTAATGTTACTTCTGGGGGCTAATAACATTACTGTTAACGTTGTGCATACTGCATTCGAGAGTAAACCGATTTTTGTCTTGTCTAGCTACTTACTTATCAAACAAGCATTAATGTTAATCTGTGAACATAGACCAAAAAAACTGATGAACAACCCCTTCTAAATGACTTTATTTTGACAACCAGGATATTTGTGTGTTCAACTTCTATAACAAAGCATCACATGCGCCGAGAATGTTGCCACACATCCTGTGTGTGTGGAATGGCGTCCGGTATTAAGTTGTTTGGAGAAAAATTGCGATGGAGTTCATGAGTAAAAGTGGTTTCAGTTTGTTATGATCACAATAACAACCCTAACATCCTGTAAAGTGATGACTCAATAACGCCGAAATTCCATCAGACATTCTCTTTTCCAAAAACTTAACCTGATTCCGCTCAAGTGAGATTGGATAAATGCAGACTTTCACATTAAGTCCATGTTGAAATGCGCTTGATGTGTATAAAATGATGTAATATAGTAGACATCCTGTGCCGGTAGCATGAGTATGGAAAACCAGGACTGACCACGCCCATCCCATCTGTAAATTTGCAAAAAGTGCCTTTTATTTGAAATGAATATAAAAATTGTTAGGAACAGTTCATTCATGAGTCAAATATGTAAAACTCATTTTATGGATGGATAGTTCAGGTTCACGTTCCATAATCTTTGTGATATCAAATGATATTTGTTCCTCACACTCCAATTCCATTACTGACATGCAGGCTAATGTATATTTTTTGTCCTCAACCGCTCACGCAAATGAGACCCCTACGTGGTTAATACTTTTGGGGTCCCAAACTCTTTGGACATGGCCACTAAAAGCAAAACAAATCACAATAAAAAATAAAACAAAACAAAACAAAGTGGCAATGAGCATCGGGGTTGACCTCCCTCCCCTTTCTGGCTCCGTGCCTGTAGCATGCTTCGCGTAATGAAATCGTTAATTTAATTGTTCACACAAAGTGCGTAATAATTACAAACTGACTCCTTGGTTTTGTTCTGCATTTCCAGTATTTTAATTAGAAGTTTGTGATTTTTTTTGTTACCATTTGTGGGTGAGATGGGGTGTGGTCACTGCTGGTTCGCCATACACGATAGTGTGCATGGCCTTCTGGTAGAATATTTCAGTATATGCATTTTACCATTTGCAAGATAATACGACTTTGGGCCTTTCCCTGTGGCGAAGGGTGGGGCCTTATGCAAATGAAGATGTCAGCATCGTTCGGACAACACGGCTCTGCATCATACACCGGATGAACCCAGCTCGGCGCCCAGGCGCCATTCAGTAGGGCGCCATCTACCCCGTCACTCATCAACTCAAATCAATATGGCGTCGCTCATGTTGTAACTTGGCAGGGAAATCCACTCGAATTTGGTCGTCAATAAACCAACCAAGAAAACATGGAAAGGGTGCACAGGCACGTGTGGTTTACGGGAAAGAATCTTATCAATATTCTGACAGAGCTGCCGAACTACGGGATTGGAAGGCTTGTAACGAGGCGGAGATGGACGATGTTGTTTCCAGAGAATGAACCGTGTTACCTGAAAGTAACTCGTGTCAAAATCGACTGCACAAGACCGGTAATTTAGCCCGATTTCAGGTTCCTAACAATGTTTAAAGTAATATTTTTCGATAACAACCTTTTAATGCAATTTTTAAAAAATGGACTTTGAAATGCATATGCAGCCAGAAATGAGACAGCCGAATCCACACGTTCTTCCTTATACTTTTTTTATAGCACCGTTACACTGCTGCAGAACTAAGCATGTGCATAAACAAGCAGAAGTTCACAGGTACGCTATGAAAGCATCACATATCCGCGTACGCTTAGAACAGAACAGAACTGACTCACGTGTAGCACTGTGTAGCATCGGGTTTGTGCACAAGTCAATGGTGCAGCACTTTTTTGCTACACGCCCTGGCCCCTTCCTTTTTCATTTTCCCGTGTAGCATGCACTGTGTAGCAGCGGGTTTGTGCACAAGTCAATGGTGCAGCACTTTTTGCTACACACCGTGGCCTCTTCCTTTTCTTGCACCTTCGTCTTGCACTGTGTAGCATTAGTGTGCACTTGAAGGTCTGGTTCTTAGACCATCTGATCGGCTGTGCCTATATCCTATTGCATATCACCTGACTAAACATTCTGTGTAGCATGTAGCACTGCTACACACACAGGTTCTGTCTTCTTCGGTCTCATTTCTGGCTGGGTATATTTAAATGTTAGTAGGCCTACCGACATGACGTTATTCTGATTGGTCTGTGCAGTAAGTACATTTTTTGTCATACAACCTGTGACCTAACCCCACACCTAGCCCCAGACTGGGGGCAAGTCCACTGGACTCCCTCCGTATCCCGGGCTCCATGTCCATTCAAAAAGTGGAGACTCAGTGAAAATGCTTTCTATGAAACCCCTTTTGCGTGTATAGATCACTCACCCCATCAATTCTCTGATGTGCTACTTTGGGTGATTTCCAATGTGTAGAAATCCGTGAAAGTTTTGTTTCAATTTGGGCCATTTATTTACTACAGCGATTAACTGCTGATTGCGCTGACCGAGGCCAAACATGCTGTCTGGCAAGGAGTTCACACTCGATCCCAAGCATTGTATGCATTTCGGTTCATCATTCATCAACGTTCATTGGCAATGTTATGCTCTGGGGATCTACCTAATAATGCTGTGTAGTTCCCAGACCAAACAGATCCTGACTGTGTTTGGAATCGGTCAGCAATCAGGAGTTAATCGCTGTAGTAAACGAATGGCCCAAAATCGAAACAAAAATCTCATGGATTTCTACAAATTGGAAATCGCCCAAAGTAGCACATCAGAGAATTGATGGGTTGAGTGATCCATACATGCAGACGGGGTTTTATAGAAGGCATTTTCACGGAGTCCCCACTTTTTGAATGCACCGCTGTGGGGCCTAGGATACGGAGGGAGTCCAGTAGACTGGCCCTCAGTCTGAGGCTACCCATGACCCTGCACCTTTCATACTTTCTGCATTATTTGTGAATTTCTAATGTTTATAACTATTTGCAACCAAAGGTTGGATTGAGATACATAATACAGTCGAAAACACCATTTCAAAAGACAAAAGTTGAATAAACAGATTAGTGTTTCTACACATGAATCTCAAGTTTATTCTTCAAAGCTCAGCATATAAGCTGCCCAGATTACAAGCCTCTCCGACCATTTTCACGGGCAAAATCAACGTATAAGCCACGCCTTATATTCCAAAAATTACGGTACTCAGGCCTTAATTTTAAATTGCTAAAACAGTAATACAAATGAAAACAGAATCATCCAATTTATCTAAAACCTGCTAAAGCTGTGAAGACATCTTCAAGGACTAAAGACAGATGAATTTAGAAAAACACAACATTGAGATAAGAACAAAGTTACATTTGACAAATACAACATGAGGACTGACAGAGCTGGTTTAAAACAAGAGCTGTATACATTATGATTTTACAGTTTATTTATAAGTGACTCTGTTCTCTGTTGCATTTTTGCAGGAATTAGATCAAGGACAAGTGTGGGGAGAACTAACATACAGAGGTAATTTGCATAAAAATGTGCTTTTGCGTAATCTAGCTACCTAACATCACACTTTACAGATGACTTACTGATGAAGGCTATTGTGCTTAACCCCTTTCTTAGTTTAATTACATTTAATTAATTACATTTAGTGTAATTAAATTTGTTGTTTTATATGTGCAGGATACAAGCGAGAGGATTTGGAGATTCAAGTAGGAGCATGGTGGAAGAAAGAATGGGAGTTGATTCGCAAAGCCGATGAAGAGGAATTCTGTAAATTCACACCCAAGCCAGAACACTTCCATGTGGCCCCAAGCCACGCCCGCATGCCCCCTCTCTTGGAGGCCATGGTACTGAAACAGAGGGCAGATAAAGGCATCAGAGTAGATCCTGACGACCTACCGCTACTAGACTTGGAGATCAGGAAAACCTACCGGCACAGGGCATACCAGTTAGCAAGCCAGGAACTGATAGGAGAATACTGAAAGAAAAAGACCTTGGGAGAAAGTGATGATATTGATACACACATTTGTCACCAAGCTTTGTTTACAAATTATTTATGCTTGTTTAAACTCAACATTATCAGTTTGTCCATTTTCCAATTTTTCTCTCCTTAGCCACAAATAGTTGTTACCTCAACAGGACTACCATGATCCAACTTAAGAGGTGGCACTGTCGCATAGAATCAACTCAGTGCCCATTTTCATATCTAGACTTCATACTCATTTCAGCTTCGTCTCAAGCTCTACAATCAGTAGGGTTTAAGTGAAAAATTCTAAAACTTGGTTAAAGTTGGAAAGGTGAGCTTTAGGTGACTAAATTTATAACCACGAAACCAAAAGCCAAACACGATAGTGGAGCTTCAACTTCAATTTAAATCCAGTTGTGCTGCTCACTAGTTCTTCAATTACATCTGATAATCATTGAAGGGTTCCAGAGAAATATTTTATTGGACAGTTGTCCAATAAAAAGTGAGAGCTTAGTAGGCTTGTTTCAAGCCTGTCTCGAATATTTATCCCCAAAGTGCACTGGGATCGGGCTGTAAGACTGGAACACATCTTTAAAAGTGCCCTGAACAGTATTTGTAATGTGTATCGTACTGACTAATGTACTAACTACTGAACATGAAACATTTGGGAAGTCAAATTCTGTTAAGCTGTGAATAAAGGGACTGGTTTTTAAACATTAGTTCGTAACCTTAATTCTCCGTTATTTTGTAAAATTGGACCCAAGAATCTCTAAGCCTTTCAGATTTTCAGAAAGGGATTCTTTTAATGTAGTAAACGTTGATCTCCGATAGAGGGCGCCGTGTTATTGGTAGGGATCCTAGACTTCATTGCAGAGTTGTGCACGTGGCAGACTGAATAAATGTTTGCACGTGCAACTAGACTTGCAAGGGTGCCAACTCCACGGGTCCGGATCCTGCCGATTCCGTTCAGATTCCAGACGAGCAAACTCTATTTTGTTTAGCTAAAATGGCAAGCGAAAAACCGGAATATACAGGCAACAGAAAGAGCCGTCTTGTCGAAGGAACTGTAAGTATTCTTAGTGTATGTATGTCGGACATGGGGTTTGTTGGCGTTGCAAAGAAGTAAAAGGCGAGAGGAGAGGCCCAAACGTGCTGAAGGGGGGATCAGGTCAACTCGGACCCAAA